CCTGAAGTCCTCAACACGATTTTTCATTTCCTAGGTCCTCTTGCCAATTCTTTATCTTCATTCCCCAATCATTTCTCCCCTTCTCTCTCTCTCTCTCTCTCTCTCTCTCTCTCTCTCTCTCTCTATCTATATATCTTTCTCTCTCTCTTTCTTTCTCTTTTTCTTTCTATCTCTCTACTTCTCTCTTTCTCCATCTATTCTTAATCTGTCGTTCGATTATTCCCTGTCTCTGTCTCCCTCTTCATATCTCTCGTTTCTTCTTTCTATGTTTCTTTTTTCATACTGTATGTAGCTCTCTCTTAATCTATCTCTCTCTCTCTCCCTTTCTCTCTTTCTCTCTTTCTCTCTCTCTCTCTCTCTCTCTCTCTCTCTCTCTCTCTCTCCCCATACAGCTCTGTAAATCTTTCACTCAATCTCTCCCTCATCTGTATGTATAGCTCCGGCATCTCTCTCTCTCTCTCTCTGTGCTCCCTTTCATCTCTATGTAGATCTCGCCTTTCTTCCTCCCTCGCCCTACTTATCCAACACCCCTCATGCCTTCCTCATCCTGCTCCTACATGTAATCCCAATCCATTGCGTGCGTCCAATCTTCTCTCTAGGATGCAACCCGATCACCTGCATACCTGACCTGAACAAACAGTGACCACTGTCAGTTCGGTCGAGGAATTGAATGATCCTATCGAGCATTCTTCAAGACGTATAAAAAGATCGATGGTCGGGGGCGCCGTTAGGAAGGGTTGACTAGGGTGCCATAGCATCGGTGTTTGGGGTGTGGGGGAAGGTGGGGGAAGTGGGGGGGGGGGGCACAAAAAGAGGGGACGAAGACAAGAAAAATCATAGCTGGTTATGATTTTTGTTTCCTTCTCAAAAAACTTTGGTAGCCAAAAACCACACCAAAGACCTAGAGATTTGTTGCTGTTGCTTGGCACAAAATTTCCTCTTGTGCCCGATCAAACGTGAATTAAATGTGTTAAGCGCGCGCGCGTGTGTGTGTGTGTTGTGTGTGTATGTATGGGGGGGGGGGGCATCTTCCAATTCGGCCCCTCTTATCTACGTCAATGGCAAACGCCCCGCCATAATGATCGATTGACGCTCGCATCAATCTAGCAGAACTGTGTTAATAGAGCCATTATAAGAACATTATTGCAGCAATTGTGATTGGAAATGATGAAAAGAGAAAGATAGAGAAGGGATGTGAAAAACTTAAGTAGAAGGAAAGCCACATCTGTTCCATTACAAACTACCATCTTATCCAACGTTAGAGTATTCAGCGTGTTTCATTCTGAACACGGTCGTTAAAGACTTTTCCGAAATCAACTCAAGGGGAATTTCACTACCCTTTTGTAGTTCCCATCGAATATATGTTCGGGTTATGTAATGTGTCTTGGCTAAGATTACATGGCACACAAGGATATTGAAATTGCCCTATATAGATTATTTTTGAAAGTATTTGTAATCTTTTAAAAAATATGATTATGATTATTTTTGCTTTGAAACATAACGGTGTGTTTTAGTGCAATCTATCTAAGATAAAATCATATCATGTTAAATGTATGACAGACGGTAACATTTACCACATTGCTTTATTTAGAGGCTTCATTTCCTTCGTGACCACGGTGAACTTCCGTTGAATCAACTATCCCAAACTATTTGTACATTATTTTCATGTTTTGAGAACATCCTGTTTATAATATTGATTTCATACCAAGCTATGATTTATCGACTACTTTATAACATTCATGTTCGCGGATGCGCTACATTCTCACATTTCGGTGGTTAGTAATGATATCTCCCAGTAATTAAATATGGAATGCTTGGTCAAGAGAAAGTTAGAAGGTTAACAACACCATTAAACAATTTAATGATTTCTACCTGTGATGCGCCTGTTTCCGGATGCTAATGACTTCACATTATTTAAACATCTCAAACTTCGCAAGACCAGGTTGGGCAAATTTACCCCCCCCCCCTCACACACACACACACACACATACACACACAATATTACGTTCTTTAGTTTCTACGCGATACATGATCGCAAAGACTTTCGAGAAATCTGTCGCGGCACCCCGGATGAAAAAGGATGTTCTATCCGACACGCTATCTTGTCAGTCTGTTTAGCCGTCGGTCGACATGCCTGTGTCTTTGTCTGTCTACCCGTAGATCTATGACCGACGCAAACAGGGGCACAGCAAGACCTTTTTGAAAGGGGGTGATCGCGGTAGGGGGTGTCATTGTTTTAACAAGGTTGTCTATATACATGTATATATTATATATGAATAAAACATTACCAAAAATATCAACAATCCAAAGCGATTTGCTAACAAGCATGTGGAAAGCACACATTAAAGAGGAGGGGGGGGGGGGAGGCTACATCCCTATCGTCCTCTCACTATAGTGTGAACAGGTGCGAGACGACGTCGCTGGGTCGAGCTGAGAGGTCCGGAAACAAGGGGCTCCTACATGCCCGATCTATCCCGTCCTCTTGTGATGCGCATAAACCAGGGGCGTCGCTAGTTGGATATGGGGGTGTGACACTCCTCCCGCATCCTTCCATTAATACAAAATATACTGTCTGTAAATTTGAATGTTTGTAGCCTCCCGGCAAATCCTAACGAATGGAGAATTTTGTGTTAAATTAGAAATCTGATATTTTGTTAAACCATTCGGCAAATTTGAAAATATGATAATCTGATACTAAACAATTTTTTACGCTTATTGGCAATTTTTGTTGTTGCTTATTAAGAAATTTTCAGCTCACTCGTCCGGAAATGTTGATTCGGCATCCATATTAAAAAACGTTTTAGAAACGCCCCTGGCGGCATGCGATACGGTACATGCATTATCCGCCTCCGTGACTGGCCTAAGATTCAATCAATTAAGAGCACCTAATCCAGGGTAATGACAGCAACACATGTTTCACGAGCTATTAATCCTCATCATGACATGGAAAGGGGATGGGGGATTCTGCTGGTTGTTTTCAAAGCATCATCCGTCAATTACAGATCATATATATCCAATACCACTATTTAAAGACAGCTATAGGATCCCAGCTTGGTCATAATGAAGGGAAAAACAATTCTGCAATAAAGTAATTTGCGAACAATTCTACTGATATTGAGGACAGAATTCGACTAGCACAATAAGCAATTACTGCATTATTTGTAATGGGTGAATTGATTAATTGAAGATATTGCAACGGTCCACTCAATAATGATCCCCGAATGCTCGTTAAATATGACGCGGTTAACCACCGCCAACCCCCCCCCCCCCAGGCCTGGATAAGATGAGAAAAATAGAGACAAAAACACAGTAATAGTAATACCCGAGTTCAACCCATTGTGCCCATAAATACATTTCTTACAAAATGTATTCCGTCGGAGATGTTGTTTTGATTCACCTACGAGGGATCAATCCCCAGACATTATCTTTTCAGGGAACAAACATTTCTGCTCAGTACCGGATGTATTATCATCTTCATTCCTGTCACAAATCTACTTCAACCACTTGAGTTTGATCGTCAAAAAGATTTACATCTGTCACGAGAGAGTTCGACTGTTTTAAGTGCTACGTCAAGTTGACGGAGAGCAATAATTTTCAAAGATAATAAGAGTGATTTGTAGGAGTCTGGTGGGAGCTTGAGCCCCGTACCAAATAACAAGTTCAAAAGACATAACATGTCAGTTCCGGTATCTGTCTGATTGTTGTAAACTTAGATGCAGCCTAGAGCCAGCTATATCACGGCATTTAAACCAAATTTTGATTCGTAATGCCATTGGGTGGTATTCTCATAAGTTAAGCCGGGACTAAGTCCAGACTAAACAAGAATTTTAGTTCACACTTCTATGGAATGCTAGGTTTCACCTTCCTCCTTCAATATTCATGATAAAGATAATCTACCAAAGACTTTGTTAAAATTCACTTCATACTCATAATATCTTTTTCATCCCATTTCATTGCAAAATTAATTTTTTGGACACTTTTCATTGAAGGATTAAAATAATCTGTACAGGGTAAATTAGTTTGCAACAGGCACTCCATAAAAGTATGAACTAACTAAGTATGCGCTAACTTAGTACGCGCTACCGGAATACCACCCATTGATTTTACTCCCCTTCTTTCTTTGTATAAAAAAGAAGTAATTATGATGATTCAAATTTTTGTGAGTCTTCGACAACTCCCCCTCCCTAACTTTCTCTTTCTCCCTGTCTCTATTTCCTATTCTTCTTCTTCTTCTTCTTCTTCTTCTTCTTTTTTTCTTCTTCTTCTTCTTCTTCTTCTTCTTCTTCTTCTTTTTCTTTTTTTCTTCTTCTTCTTCTTCTTCTTCTTCTTCTTCTTCTTCTTCTTTTTCTTCTTCTTCTTCTTCTTCTTCCTTTTCTTCTTCCTTTTCTTCTTCTTCTTCTTCTTCTTCTTCTTCTTCTTCTTCTTCTTCTTCTTCTTCTTCTTCTTCTTCTTTTTCTTCTTCTTCTTCTTTTTTCCCTCCTTATTCGTGTTAACTTCGTGTGTATGATACGTTCAGTTGCTCTCATTATTTTATGTAAAAATAAAAATGCTGCGATTGTTGCTGATGTTTTACTTTTGATTCTCAGAAGAATGAGAATATTTATATATACTACACACGTGTTGATAAGTGTTTTAGATCTACAGTTATTCATAACTTAATACAGAGGTCATTAGATTATTTAAAGATGTGGTGGGGAAAAGATTTAATGAAGGGACAAAAACATAAAGCTAGTCAAGAGAGGGCAGTATTTCAGTTAGTGCCACAGCTAGTTGAAGTACAGATTTAATAACTATAAGACAGAAAGCAGACGCATGACATCAGTAACGAGGCAATTTTATTGGTAAATTCTTGGCACAAAAATGAAAATACAAGCAACATACATATTTACATAACAGATGTTTCGCGAAAAAAGGAAGCACCTATGAATACAAATTCGCTTTAAAAGAAAATATACAATTGCACATCACACCTGCTATTCCACAATGGCTTATGTTAGCAAAACCTTTTTTGAAATCACAGATAATGTATTTTGAATGAATAAAAGAAGCAAACGGACTTCATAGCCTTGACTTTTCAAAAGCGATAACCAAAATAAAATGTCACAAACATCATTTTAAGAAAATTGTTTGAAAAAATATTGAAAACTTTTAGTCTAAATAACCCCTGAATACATTTTACATTCTGCAACTTTAAACAGTGGCGAATTTGATTGAAAGAGTTTTAACATTTGACTTATTATCGACAAAAATGTGTTAAATTACTTTTTACAGTAAAGATCATTTATAAAGCACAATATTATTCTGCTGCCCAGAAAAACACATAACTTTTAAAAACAATTTTCTTATTAACTTTTGTTATAAATTGGAGGAAAGTAAAGGCACTTTTATCAGCATGATTGAATTTATCTACGATTTTACATTTACTGCATTATTATGAAACGTAAATGCTTTAAGTAGAAAGTTCATTTTTTACTGTATACATTTTTTAATTCAATTAACAAATACATCGAAGATTTGAAAGACTGTGGTATAAATATAAATTCCGGATTGTGTTCATGCTGTCTTACATTATATAGGCCTGCTATCTCCCTTTTTATAGCAACATAAGCTCCGTTGATCACTTGTGGATGTCGAGCGGGGGGGGGGGGGGGTGGACCGGTCCATATTGTGTTAATGTTACCTTCTTCAGTGCACTTTTAAAAAAATGCGAAAACCATTTCGCCGTTTGGTTTTTTCAAACTTTCAAAATAACCATCATTATCACCCTATTTGTGTGGGGGTGTTACACTTAGAATAAAAATGTATAAAGACATAGACGTTAAAAACAAGCCTATTAAAGTGCCAAAATGTGCATATTAATGAAAGCGAGCTTTAAAATCTATCTGGTTCTATGAGTATGATTATTATTATTATTATTGGAGGGGGGGGGGGGGGGGAGGTAATTGAAAATCGAAACATATTTATGATTAAATTAAGTTTGATGAAAAGGACAAGCATTATGGCGGCACTACAAATAGAAATTAATGGATGGAATGTTTAAACTTAAATTGGCAACAGCTAACAGGTTTTCTTAGCCTGAAAAGACGCATAGTTGAGGCTGTAGCTGTTGCTATGTCGGGCAAAGCAAAGAGCGGCTGTACGGTCGCAGTGACAGAGAGCTGAGGCACATCGGGGCTGCTTGCCGGCGAGCATGCTATCAAAGAACGAGTATTGGTGATGGTTGGCTGCAAAACAGAATGAAATAAGCAATAAATTATGTTATCGATTTGGTAATCCATCATCAAAATCCATAATGACTATATGAGTTAAATGTACAACTGTACTCTTCAACAGCATAGTATTCCTCTCCTTTTCCCGATATAATATATTTTGTTACAAATATTGATAATGATGATAACAGACAGCTAGTTATTGACTATATATCCAGCAAGGGGGGGGGACCCGGGTATGTACTATTATTACCAATTGCTTTCGCCCAGCTGCCTTTAAAAGCTGACAACAGTCAGTCAATGCCATGGTGGGACTCGAACCTCAAACCCTGTGATCCACAGTCCGGTGACGTATCCTCTAGACCACGACACCTCAACTAAAAGTCGATATTAATATCCATCATGTTTAAGGGGTGCCCCAAACACTTTCAAAAGTGAGGAGGATGGGATTCGATGGGATTATAGTCCAGTCCATTAGACCATAAAAACTCTTTATCAATACCAACTATTCTCCGATTTTGTAGTCTCAAGCATGCATTCATGCCAACTTACCACACCATATCTTAGCGTTGGGGGTGTCACAATTGTTCATATTAGACTTGTAATAGGTGAAATACACCGACTTGTCTCCTTTGCAGATGCCCTGCTTCTTCAGCTGGCTGTAACACCGGTCATGCACCTGACAACACCTGGATAGAATCGAAGAAAAACAAGTGGTGACATGATAAAGGAATATCAATATTCATTTTGTAATTAGTGGGAAATTAATTTCAAGGAAGATAGCAAATCGTTCCAAATGTGATTAAAGATAATATTGTAACAGTTTATGCTCCCACTGCAGTTGGTGGTGTTTTCACATTGGGATAAATCATAACGCCCCTCGTAAATGATCATACCGGCTTAAGCTTCGGCTGCTGTTAATTTCGAGGAATTATTCTGCCTACCAGGTACCCTTTCCCTCCTTGTTTATGTCTTGCCAAAGGACGACAGTGATGTGGCAGGGATTCGAACCCCATACCTGGTGGTTCACTATTCAATGACTTATCGAATAGACCACAGCATCTCTACATATTCATTATACTGAGTAACGAAGACAGATATGGCTATCGGGTTGGTCGGGACTGCAATACACCACCTTGTCCCCAAAGTCTTGCGTCGCAACTTTAGAGTGTTTCGGTATTTTAAAAATGTAATTCAAGTGTCTTTTCCAAATTGGATCTATCTCGTTCATTATCACGTTTAAAAAAAACCTTACATTCACTAAATAGCACTGCCTACGTGCAGGCCTTTTTTAAAACTGTTTTGATAGTCATCTGAATAACAGTCTTCTACCCAGTGTAGGCCTACACCATACAATGATCTCTCCTTCAAATGCCACCGTATGACGTTGTAATTGAAAACTTCATGAGGTCACACTCATTCAAAAGTTTTCATCGGTTTAATTTTGACACATCGCCAGCGTTCCTCAGCCAAATTATGAATGATTTCCGAACGCGATGATTATAAAGGAACCACGAAATTTGTTTGGCACGTCAACAATGCTCCGCCCCCAATAATAAATTAGGTCGATATTAATTAGCAACCCATTTAATATTTCTTAACCTGACACGCAATGGGTGCTACCACTCATCACAAGTCTAAATTTTCGTTGAAATTAAATTAAAAGCAGAAAACAACATTTGGCACACGAACAGCGAGGAGAAGATGTGAATGTTTCAACTTTTAACCACGGTATTCGAATTGATGATAAGCGTTTAAATTGAGACAGAATTTACCTCAGAAACATTTCGATTAATTCAGTACAATCGATTTCGTAAATGGGGTAAAATATATGCGCTTAAACTTGGTGAAATAGTTTACCAAAGATGTAGGTCATAACAGCGACAGTAATGTTTTTGTACTGTGAACCAGATGGACTAGATACAGTACAGGGGGCACGGGGTCATTCGCCCCCAATCGAGTAGTGAACAAATATAAAGAAAAGTTAGTTAAAAGGAAGACGGGGAAAGCCCGAGAAACAAGAGGCATGGACTACTTCTTGTACTCTGACCAGTATACCATTGACTTTCGCATCTAATATTCCGAATAAGACTGGTGCCCCACCCCACCAATTATTCCAGGACCCCTCAACGGGACAACTCACACTACGCTATTGCTGTAAATGTGTTTTAACAGAAATCTGATAAATTCGGAACTGCGTGGATTTATTAACGAAGTTCAAGAAGTAGAAAGAGTGAGTGATGAAACAACAAAAAAATTAATCCCCATCTATTTTCATTAAGTACCCAGAAAAATAATGTAAGGGAGTGGCTGATTAATTTAGCCAACTGGCATTTTGTCCAAATGCTTTAAATGATACTTATTCCTTCAGGCACTTTCGAGGTATATTTCATTCGAGAGAGGTTAGCAAAAGTAGGTCAGGAATTAGTTGAATTATAAAAACGGAAACATGATCTTGTTCAATATTCCCTTGTGGGCGTTGAATTCTGCGTGAACTGGAAGTATGACTTGGCCACTCCAATTAAGCCATATTCAGTAACATCAAAAGCGAATGTTAAATCGACCATGGCGTATCCATCTAAGGGCAGAGCCGGCGCACACCCTGCCCCTTTTCTCACACCCACAGACACCCCTTTTTGTTATAGAAGCAGTGGATGCCCAGAGTGCAGGAAAACAGCTTGTGCGTGGGGCATATGCCCGCATTACCCTGTAGCGTTTTTGTTTTTGTTTAACGCGCAATGGCGTATCCAGGATTCTTTTGCGGGAGGGGAACAATATTAAAAGAAAAATAGAGTATTGTTCAAGGTGTATTTTCTTTGGTGAGGGGGATGACAATTGGGCCATAGAATGGGGAACAAGAATACAATTAAGAAGGGCATATCGCTTCCAAGTAATTTATACAAGATTTGGCCATGCCCCCCTACGACTCCATTTTGGATCCTCTTATATTAAACGCCAATGAATCAAAGCGTACGACCCACCTGTCGGTAGCATCAACGGCCTTGCCCCCGCCTCCCAGCCCGCAGTGGCAGCCGTAGCCATTGTAGGCGAGGGACCCCCTCCTCACTAAACATTCCACCATGCCTCCAAACTGGACGACCATCTCACTCGGGCCCATGGCTGCGCCATTAGGGGCGGCTGCCCCACCGGCTACTCCTCCCATTCCAGTTTCATGCGCCCCCATCATCTGCTCCTGATCTGTGAATTGAAGTAGAATTTCAAGAAAATAAGTAAACATGATAGACATTGTAATCAATTTACTAATAATGCAATTAATTTTAGATATTCGCGTACAGACGCCTGCAGGAATTCATTATTGAATATGATCGCAAAGATATTCGAGAAATGTACCCAGGATGATTTAAACTCACCGTTACTGTCGTGTTTGCAAATTTCGAAGTGTGACGGACACGGCTATTGAAAATGTCTTAGCTTGATTTTTCGAAAATATTTATGATCATGTTATTCGTTGAATGTGTACTCTTCAATATCACCTTCACAATTTTATCCCAATACTTAAAAATATTCCTCTTCGTTTACTGTATCCCTATCCAAACGTACGTAAGGCGGACACCCCCATTTCTCCATTGACTGACGCCCATGGGACACCACCACATTACGTTTATAATATCGAAAGGGTATCCGTGCCGACATGAATATCTTAAAGGCCGTTTGTATTAGTTTGGCCAGAAGGGATGAGACCACCCAGGGAGATCACTGACAGGTGGGTATCTCATCAACTCAGCTCGCAATTAACATAAGAAAAAGAGGATCATGGGGGACTATTGGTCACCGATTAGGCATTGTTTTCTATATAGAGGGGGCAAGTAGCTACAAGTAGTACAGTGGGACTTTAAGTCACACGGAAGCGCTTCCTCTGGCAAGTCTGGAGCAGAGTTACATGGTTAAGCCAATTTCAAAGAGAAGCTGATTGTGGTTTATTTTTTTGTCAACTAATTTCAGAATCAGAGACAGGTCTTTCTTTATGTATAATGTCTGTCGTCCAATATGATATCATACTACAAACCAATTAAACATAATTATTCTTCAAATAAAATCTTGTGAATTCCTTTTAATTGGATAACCCTATTATAACATTTCAGAAACATATAAAATACAAACTGAGAAATATAGAGAAGGAACAGACTACATCGATTCTTCTTATTTGGTCAAGCTTATTGTCATATTTCAACATCGCGGTTCTCCGTGTCTTCTTCAAAAGAGGATTGACCTTTGATAATTTAGAATACTTCGCGGAAGTGCTGGGTGTATCAAACGATGAGCGTGTTGATGGAGAAACTATACGATAAAAATAAAAGCATGACGAACACCGTCTTTGTAAATGCCATGGAAACAGGAAGCTTAAGGAACGTATTGAAGATATTCGAGAGAGGGTTGAACGACGTAGGAAAGTTGATGGAACATCCTGTCTAGCTATTACGTTGGATGGGGTGAACGTCATCTTCTCGAGAACAGCATGCTTGTTTATTTCAACGATCTGGGGTTTTATTATTATTATGTTTCTAGCGATTGTTTGTGTTTTGATGATCAAGATTTTATGAATGAACTTGTTTCCTGTCCCCCCTCTCTTTCTCTCTCCTCTCACCACCAATAACATGAACACAAAAGAAATGGGAGGAGCAAAAAGATTGAATGACTTTCTCATTTTTCAGTTAAAGGGTAAATCAGTGGCTGATAGATATTAATCTGTTTCGAGCCAGAAGGGTGTTAACTCATATAATTCAATACTGAGTTACGTCTCTCTGGCTCTGAAGAGACGCTATGGCAAATATATGTTAAAGACAAACAACAAAGAATTAAAACGATCCATGGAGAAGAGAGGGAAAGGGAAGCGGGAGAGGTAGAGAGAGAGGGAGAGGGAGATAGAGAGAGAGGGGAAGGGGAGAGAGAGAGAGAGAGAGAGAGAGAGAGAGAGAGAGAGAGAGAGCTTAACTATTATGCTTATATTCTTTTCTTTAATGGACGTTAACGAAAGATAATTTGATAAGACTATACAACTTTATAATCACGATGGTTCTTGGGCCACTCTGTTAACACAGTTTACGTCAAAGCAAAACTGTAACAAGTTACTAAGATAGGATGATAATGGACCGAAACCCTGCTCTTGACATTTTAAGGTTAGTTCTTCATTCAAAAAAAGAAAACAAATTCCCAATTATAAGTTTCAACAAAGATAAAACCCAAACCGAGGAAACGTCCAATTACTATCAAAAATGCATTATCAACTTTTCTTTCAATTGAAGTCCAGTTTTGTACTCTTCAGAAAATAAGTTCGCGACCCTCTGCGTCCTTTTTGGTCAGTGTTCCCCGTTGCCATAGTGACGCGGAAGTTGCCGAAGGACTTCCCTCCCCTGGAGCTTCCCTGTTTAGACGCACTTTAATTGATGAAATTTAGTCAACCGAAGGGGGAACCTTTTGCAAATCTTATCTCCTGATTTTTCGAAGTGTAAATTTGTACTTTTTTTTTTTAAAGCTGGAGGCAAGCCAAAAGATAGTTCGTTATCCCTCTCGACGAAAGAAGCAATTTCCGAGTTTAGATTTGTATTTTAGCAGTGCCTTAATTTTAAGTGAAAACATTTTTTTAAATAGATTGTGGTTTGCCGCTCAATTTACACATTTTGCCAATCTGAAGATGTCAAAGTATTGTGTTTAATTATATTATGACTTTAAAGATCAACAGGTCGTAGAGTTGAAGTAGTCGAGTGGTGAAATCATTTGACTGGAAATATATAAACATGGACACGCGGCATGCTTTAGAACTCCTATTTCATCCTGCTTTTCTATTTTACGGTAAGTTAAAAGACGGTCATAAAAAAACTTTAAAAGACGGCCACAGGTTTGATTCAGAGACCGATTGATTGAATCCAAAAGTCGGTCTCAAAGGACCGACAGCCCACGAGACCGACAAAATAAAAAAACATATATGGGATTAAGATGTCGGTCTCTTGTTCTATCGGTCTCTCGGGCTGTAAGCCATTGCATTGTGGATAAACTTATCTTACATCGCCTGGGTGGCAGAAGGGCGTTAGCACTAAATTGCCTCAAACTTTAATAAAACTGACTTTTTTCCGAAAAAAAATTGTGGCCGTGTTCTATTATAACATTCATATTAGTCTTTTAAGTTTTAAACCAATTTTTTGGACGAAAAACATTTAAAATATAAAACTTATCCCTTAAATGCGAATAATTCGAAAAGTAGTTTTCGAGTCACTCGCGCGCTAACGTCTTTCTGCCACCCGGCCGACGATGTTTTGACGTAGTTTATTTCACTTGCTTTTCATAGCTGAAATCAACCACATTGTCTTTTGGAGGGGTTTTTCGCCACTCATTAATGGTCTAAATGTCAAACCTGCTGTGTCATATAATCACATTTTTCCTGTTCTCGTCATCCGAGTTTTGTTTGGCATCTATAAAAAGCCTCATATAAGAAGCTGACGACTCAAAACTTCTAAGGAAATACAAAATGTTAACAGCGTGGACCACTCTGGTTATTAGATTAGACATAAAAGACACAACTCAGTGCCCCTTAATTGAGAATGAAGGAATTTGTTTCTTTGTTTAGGTATACTCGTTGGTGATTAAAGACACGTTCTAAAATGGTAAGTATGCCCTGAAATAACCCTGTAAGTTGGGGCTCTGATCGGATCGGAAGATCGGAGCGACACCCTCGCACCTTTGATCGGTATCGGATCGGAAGAGCGACAAAAAAAATCGGCCGATTTTTTTTTTTTTTTTTTTTTTTTTTTTTTTTATGACGAAAATTTTCAAGTTTTTGGCTATCAAATGCTCAAAAAAAGTTCATGGCTGGGATTATTTTGTCATTTGGAGTTGTTGTAGACCATGTTTGTTGATATTTTGTGCCTTTTCATGACTTTGAAATTAAAAATATTGGTCTAAGAGCAGAGGCAAAACATGCGGGCCGCCATCTTGGATTATAATGTAGGTATTTTTTTTTTTTTTAATGACGAAAACTTTTAAGTTTTTGGCTATCAAATGCTCAAAAAAAGTTCATGGCTGGGATTATTTTGTCATTTGGAGTTTTTGTAGACCATGTTTGTTGATATTTAGTGCCTTTTCATGACTTTGAAATTAATAATATTGGTCTAGAGTCTAGATCTAAGAGCAGAGGCAAAACATGCAGGCCGCCATATCTTGAATTATAATGTAGGTAGACCTCTATAATCCAAGATGGCGGCCCGCATGTTTTGCCTCTGCTCTTAGACCAATATTATTAATTTCTAAGTCATGAAAAGGCACTAAATATCAACAAACATGGTCTACAACAACTCCAAATGACAAAATAATCCCAGCCATGAACTTTTTTTGAGCATTTGATAGCCAAAAACTTGAAAATTTTCGTCATTAAAAAAAAAAAAAAAACCTACATTATAATCCAAGATGGCGGCCCGCATGTTTTGCCTCTGCTCTTAGACCAATATTATTAATTTCAAAGTCATGAAAAGGCACTAAGTATCAACAATCATTGTCTACAACAACTCCAAATGACAAAATAATCCCAGCCATGAACTTTTTTTGAGCATTTGACAGCCAAAAACTTGAAAATTTTCGTCATAAAAAAAAAAAAAAAAAAAAAAAAAAAAAAAATTGCCGATTTTTTTCCGATCATTTCAATTGATCGGCGATCGGAAATTTTTCGCCGATCACCCCTGATCGGATCGGTATCGGCGGCCGATCCGATGATCGTTTACAGGGTTACCCTGAAAGTAGTTGATTCTAGATAAATACATTTTGAAATAAGTTGATTGAAAAACCTGGTGGAGTTAATTGTATATATTTATTCAATTCATCCAACTATTATATATCTGTTTACATAATCGTTTATTCATTCATTTAACATTTACTATTTATATGTATTCAATTATTTATTTACTCATATTTCATATCCCTTTTTTTAGTTATTGCTTTCCGTAAACGCACTTGATGATTCTCAAATCTTGCCAATATAATAATCTTTTCTTTAATAAACAAAACAGTATTTTATCGGATGTTTGTTTTTATTTATTTGACTTGGTCACTGTTGCCGTCCCAGACACAAGAAATACTAATATTATAGTGTACAGTGGTAAAGCATTGGTGCACCCGCATCTGGGATGAGGGGGAGGGGGGCAACGGCCGTAACAAGTATTTTGTACACTGTAGTTTGCGTCATATTCGTCTAACATTCTCTTTTCTGTGTCTTTCCTTCATTCTTCCTCTCTCTCCCTCTCTCATATACACACACTTTTTAACGATTTTTTTTTGGAGGGGAGGGGGGGGGGGGGGGGTCAATGGGCCACTTACGAGTCTCCTGTTGTCCCTGTCTCAGGTACACGTACAGAGTACACAGCTTATCACACATAGTAACAGTTTCCAGCGGAATCTAGGGTCGCTCAAAATACAATTTATCGCTATCTAAAATCTTGTTTTTTCCTCTCGATTCGATACATGCCCTCTCGTTTCCCTCCACACGCGAAAAACGTTTCTGCCCAATGACGTCCACGAGTCCATATCACCGTCTAATATATTGCATTTCATCAGGTGACTTCAAGGAAATTTTCGAGAAAACAGACCTTATCCATAGCATCGCGATGAAAGATAGGGGTTACATGCAGTGACGTAGCTACAGGGGCATAGGGGCAAGTGCCCTCAATTAAAATGACATTCATGAACGAAAAGTGAGCACGTGAGAGAGAGAGAGAGAGAGAGAGAGAGAGAGAGAGAGAGAGAGAGAGAGAAGTGCAGGAGAAACAAACGACTACAAGGAACGTGAGAAGGAGATCACATGGCACCCACAGCAACAAACATCCTCCATGTTATCCACCTAGTAAGGCAAAGCCCTCCCCCCAACAAAAATGAACGAACACCGGCTACGCCTCTTTACACTCTTGTCTAATACGCTCACGAAATTTTTCTCCAATCTTTGCAACTATGAACATCATATTGAGTTGACAAACACACATTTTCGATGATAGAACGCCAATTAGGTGATTTAGAAGCTGTTGATTTGTTTCAAGGGTTGGTTAGATCGAAGGTAATCAAGGGGAAAACATGGGGTATATGACCATGAACCGATGATAAGCTTCACTGATATATCGGGGGTTTAGTTTTCCAGTATATGATCACGTGATATCGTCGATTTGTACATTTTCCTATTCAAGCATTATGTCAGACAAAATAAGGTTTAATTTAAATGTTAATGGTTACAGTATATAGACAGATCCAGGATCTGGACATTAGTTCTTTAAAACAAAGTTGTTACTTGTTTGGGAGAGGGGTGCTATTTATTTCCAAAACTGCCTGATAAGAAAGAAAAGACAAAATCGAATATATCCAATTATTGTCAAATTATACAATGTTTTTGTCATCTAAATTTATCTGAGAAGAAGATTATAATTAAAAAAAAGGTATTGTGCCTTTTGGTGTTTATGATTGATGCCGGGGGCACATTTAAAGGGCTCTTTTTTTTGGGGGGGGGGGGTGGGGGTATTAAAGTAAATCAGATTTGATTTCGTTGGGGTGGGGAGAGGGGGGCTCGTAGGTCTAAAAGGGCATATATTCATCTCTTTATAAATCTCACCTGTAAGAGCAGCTCCCTGTCCAGCGGACAGGTAAGGGTCGTTCACCCCGCTAGTCCCGGCCTCCGACTTCTGCATCATCACCACCACTGGTGTGACGACTGCTGCAACTGAAACGTTGAAAGAAAGTATGGAGACAAAGAATTCAGTAAAGAAATTTCGGAAGGCATGTGCCTCCTTCCGTCGAACGGGGTTAAGAAAAGTAAAAGAGACACAAAGAACGAGACGTCCAAGATATCAACACAAGGGTGTTCAGATTACGTAAAATGTCATCATCATGTTCCCACATTGCAAAAGGGAACGGACAAGGTTACTGAAATTGCCTTAAATCGACTTTCCGAAAGTCTTTCCGATCGTGTTGAAAGGAAAAGACAGACAATGAGAGAGGCAGAGCTAGGATTCGAACCCTCAACCCTTGAATTGAGAGTCAAGTGAATGAACCACTATTCTCCACGGAACCTAGCATTGATGAGGGTAATAGTAATTTAATTACAATGTACTCAGAAAGAGCAGAACAATATTCTGATGTGGCTTTTTTTTAAAACCCTGGGTATAAAATAAGTCCACATTAATACAAAAATTGAATTGAATTGCTCTCACCAAGGCAAAGATTATGCACATCTTTCACTAGTAGAGTTGAAATGGCAAGGACTTTTATAATTCAACGTCTTCCTCTCTTATTGGGGTACCTCGTAATATTTAGTCACCTACGCAATAATTGCCTAATCGGGAATCAAACTAATGAAATTACTGATGATTATCGTGAAAACTTCCTGATGATATTGGCGATGAAAATCTACTAATAAATGGTGCATGCATGCAGTGTGATGAAAGCGCTCGATCGATTAAGAGTGTCTTGATATAAATAAATCTCGCTCAAAATGTAATTAAATGTTATCAATGTTAGTGTTGACTGTCACCATAAGCCAATCATAGTCAGAGGCCGTAGTGGGGAATGTCTGATTACTGATATTTTTTAAAAACCAATATGAATGGAACCGGCGTCTCTTTGTGTCGTAAATGATGGAAAATCGTTTTGAAAAATCAACACAAAAGATGCAATTACTTGACAGTTGCAGATTTTAAGGATATGTTTTTTTAATCCATATTTAAAAAAGCTGAAGGAATTCGCATTGGATTTTGCACCCTTCGACATCTTTTTTTGTTCTTCTAAAAACCTGCTAATTTTTCCTCTCAAGAATGAAAGGGAATGACGTATGATCAGCCGCGTACGCAGGATTTTTTCAAGGGGGGGGGGGGGGGGGGGGGTAAGAGGACACTTTTTTTTTGTCTCAAAATTTGAAAATTTGACATTTTGCTCCGTTGGGGGGGGGGGTAAGGTCAGCTTTTTTAGGTCAGCCATGGGAATTTTTTTTTTTTTTTTTTTTTTTTTGTAATAAATATAAAAAATATATATATAAAAAAAAAAAAATCCAAAAAGGGGGGGGGGGGGGGTTTTAGGGGGGTTATGGGGGGGGGGGGGGTTTACACACAGAAAAATACCAATTAACCCCCAAACACCCCCCCCCCCCCCCCCTGTGTACGCGCCTGCGTATGATATATGTATTGATAGAATGTCTGAAACCAGTACGTTTCTTAAACATTTCGGTTGCTTTCCTCGCGTCTCTGCGCAGTCGCTCAATTAATTGCCACACGAACAATTTCGCACAAAATGATAGGCGGCAATTACTGAGGGAAGGATTGCTTTGGCTTTGCAAAATTACCCATTTGCAGTCTTGATAAGCTCCAAGACAACAATTTTAACACCAGTAAAGATTAATCTTTCATTAGAAACAGTTAAATCATCTTGAAGCCTTTGGTATATCTAACCCATGGCAAAAATGTGCATGGCACATTATTAATTTTGTGTCGCATAATAGTCAAGGAGACATCTAGTCTCACCGATTGTTGGTTTGTTCATTGACTCTATTGCCTTCGAGGTTGCCCATTCAAATTTAATGAATTTATAAAATCGTTTCAAATAATAATATTTTCATGTACGTTGCATCTAAATTAGAGGTCTAAAAGTAAGGTTAAAGTCAATCTTTCAATGAGCATTTTATTACAACAGTTTCCGTCTATCCTTCGTATAAGCATGGTTAAAACAATGAGCAGTTTGGCAACAAGCAGTAAATGTTGGAAAATCGTCAAGAAACTTTATGAATGGATTCTACGAAACAGTAAAATTGCACGTTGGGTAAGGGCGGCGAAGGCAAACACCTCGGCAAATTAATAAATATGAGTAATAAAAGCTGCTTGCTCAAAAAGAATGTATATTATAAAATCTAAAACAATGCATCTTGGGCTTCCGCTGTTTGGTTCTATGTAGGCCATTGAATGCTCTATATGACTATTACTTCATTTCCGAGTGTGATAGGTTTGTTTTCTCCGCGGTATTTACGATACGGTTGCTTTGAAAATACATTATCGTTGATCTAAAAAAAAACGAAAATGATAAAGTATACTTTCATAAATACTTTCGAATTTTCCTTGCTGTATTCCTTGAAACAACAATATTTGTATCTAACTTTAAAATGTATACCCCACAATCTTGATAAACGGTAATAACACAAAGTTTATTTTAAAGACTTTAAAGTGCAATGACATTGGAAACGACAGTTTTAGATTACAATGTACGAATCTGTACCTCATCATGTTATGTCTTAACTGGAAAGCAAAATAATATAATCTGAGTCTCTGGATGACTTTTACTTTGATCAAACTTTTATTTTGAAATAGTTGGGAAAGTTTCTCTCATATTCTTTTCATTTGATCAACTAAGCTCTAGATAACTCGGAATATCAAAAGTTGTAAATGTACGCGTTTATATCTCAACTTTAAAATATTTCTGAGGATACAATTATTTTGTGAATATTCAGCCTGACTCAACAGCCTTGTGATGGCATGCATATGTTTCTCTTTATTGTTTCGCTCTCCGGCTCAGACTTGTCTAATTTTAGAGAATGACTGTCTTGTTCACACCGAGTTGCATTCGTTCTGCAGGGAGTTGTATTCGACCCTCTATAGCAGGGAGTTGTACATGCAGCCCATATACTTCTTTTGAGTTATACTTATAGCATGCCTGCATGCAGGAGCTGCAACATAACAATTTCCGGACCGGTAGAATTGAAATGGGGAGGGAATAAAACGGGAAAGGAGGGGGGCATCGAGGTTACCCTGTCACTTCTACTTCGACAATAAATTGTAAAAATATACTTCTAACCTCTACCGTTTGGATAAGGTGAATTTAAGGTGTATGCTTATCATCATTACTTTCTGCTTAAATATCATCGCTTTTCAATAAAGATTGGAATGATTAATTTGTAGAGGCTAGAGGTTTGTTGCTTGGAACAGGATGATTAGGCTTAATTTAACTTTCAGGCTAGTATTGGGCAATTTTGAACGATGGAATCTGATCAATTATATACATGTACTACACCTAAATTTTAATACGAAGTGTTTAGCATTGCTAATTTAAAATACTAAATATCAATCATAGATTATTTTTATTGCGGTTTGAATAAACATTTTTTTTAATTTTAAAGTTTCAATATGGACATCATTATTTTTCATCATATCAACTTCTTACGTAAATTCTAAATGATTAAAAAGTGTATCCCAAGTGTCCAAAGATACGCCCGTTTGCATTATAACCATTGACAGTTTCGTCGAATTTAAAAAGGGGTGCGTTACTGCACCCTTCACCTCTATAAACCTACCCTCTTGGATCTTCCCTTCTCACAACCACGGTAATCACAGTAATGTCTGCTATATATAATATTGAAGGGGTATAATATATCCATGTGCACTTTATGTACCTCAACATGAGTGTTGCATGGTCCCATGTACGGAAACCCGGATCATTGCCTATTAGTGTGAGGTAAATATAGATTAAATTAAACCCAGTCAGGTTTGAACTGGGCATGACAGACGGCGGCGGAAAGGGAAGGGGTAGGAGTGTAATTGGTATGTAACAAGAAAGCACAGGTATTCCCCTAACTTAATTAATTGCATGATCGCAAAGACTTCTCAAGAAATCTTCTCAAGAGCAACTTCAACACCCTATTGAAAATGACATACTCTCTCTCTCTGCCCCCTCTCTCTCTCTGCCTCTCCCCCTCTCTCTCTCTCTCTCTCTCTCTCTGTGTGCCCCCCACCCCACTGCCCCCTCTCTCTGCCCCCCCCCGTCCCCTATCTCTCTTTGACTCTTAATTCTGAGTACATGATTGTTTTGGATGGCATGAAGCAGGGAGTGCTCCCCTCTCGGCTGGTCCACCTGCCTGCATAGAGTGAGTGACTCACATCTTGTTGGATACCGTCACAAATTATTATTGCAATCATTTCTTACTGAATTATGTTTCGTAATCTAATATCAATTTCCGGAGTTACATGGATGAAAAACTGTCCCAGGACAATACTTGGAGTTTTAGAGTGCCCCAATTAATGCAGAAGTTCATACAAAGTTTTGTCATGTCTTCACATTCACGGATGTGTTTGAGATATACTGTAGTTCAATCCAAAAAAAAGTTATCTTTCCTAGTAATTGTTATTGGCAGAGAAGCTTCATTCTTCACCTCAGTCTAGAATGATCCCCAATTTTGTTTCAATAGATCTCCCCTCTATTTACATCTCTCTCTTTTGCTGTCTTTTTCTACCTTTATCTATAATATGATACATACTATTTTCTTGCTCTCTTATAATGAATAAATAACATAAATGAATGAATGAATAAATGGATAAATAAATAAGTAAATAAATAAATAAATATATTATATTCCGATTCATTCAGATTAATGACTAAATATATTGATTCTTAATCAAGTGAATACAAACAAAACAAAATCAATAAATATACAAATATTAATAAATAAATAAACAAATAAATCAATAAGTAAACAAACAAAAATATAATTAGCAAGAAATCATGTTCAACTTACCAACAATTAGAGATGTGAAGACAATGCATATCACCCATTTTTTATCAATCGTCATCTTGACTATCTGGTTCTGTTCTCTATTTATTCCTCAAAAAAAAATGTGTGACACTGATAATAATACTGATGAACTAGTGATGGGGGAGCTTGCTACAGGCCCAGTTATATAGTGCTGAAAGTTTCGTGAGACAGTGAGCGACTCTCATGAAACTCTGCGATCAGATGCGTTCGACGTTTAGATCCAAACCAGAGATATGAAGAGTCTTAAAAACCTCACGGAATGTTGCGGAACCTCTCCTGGTGTGGCATGATAGTTATGAAAGTCAATGGCTTAAAAGAATCCGTGGGCGACGACTTGCAGTGAATAGAAGATAAATGCTATTTTGTTCGTGCGTGTCCCGAGCCCCCCTGGTCATTTAACTCATCGCATGCGATAAAAGTCTGCTCTTGTTAAACACATCGTGTGCAAATGACGTCAGCAAAACGTCATAATTGCCTGAAGTTCCTGTCCCGAGTTGAGTTATAGCAATCGGGGGAAGGAGCATATCTAGAGGTAAGAAACAATCGTTTTGACATTTTCAAAACTGTACAATTACTATTCCTAAGGTTCAGATAGAGTATTACTGATGACAAAATGGAACTGAATGGGCAGTATTTTCGGGTTGGGTTTGAGATAAATTATTGTAGGCCTAACGTCCGTTTCTGTTTAGGCTATGATAAGTGCTCATGACTCAGTCGGTTTACATGCTGGTCCGAGCGGGCTGTCACCGCAAGATCAGTTGAGCTAATCAGACGATTAATAAAGTTACCCTCATGCCATTTTCCCTTGCATGATTTTTTTTCTTCTGATTCTATATCATTCGTTTTTGCATTTGAGCTTCTAAAACTCCGTAATCGAAAAAAGCTGATTTCATGACTATTTTTTACTCTCTGGAATATCATTTGTTCGGCAAATCCACATATAATATTCAATAAATGTAAACCATGGCATAAGATTATGGGAAAAGAAAATGTTGCTATACGGTAGGCACACTAACTTGTAGTATTAACGAATCGATTCAACCTGATCGAGTGCCCCAAAATGCAAATACTGAAATTCTTAAGGAAGTAAGTGAAAAGCGATGATCAATATAAAGTAGAACATAATTGTGTTATAATTACAACAATAATAGTATATAATATAATTGATTTACATAAAGAGTGACAACTTAAATACACACAAATAAAAAATGCATAATTGAAAGCTTGAAAGTATGGACAAGTAAAAAATAATCAAGATAAATACAGAGGCCAACTATCATAAGCAAGAATGCTTGAGTCGATAGCAGCCATATCATGATTACTCTGTAATAGTCACTTCATAATGCAAGAAATGTATGAAAATATAACTATGAAGTTGTTAGAGTAGTAATTTAGCTATGAACTACATAACTAAACTAGAATAAAGGGATAAAGGTTACAATTTCGTCTGAATTAACGAAAGGCATGATGTCGCAAGGGTCAGTTATTCTGTAATACGAAACAATAGTGTCCTTTAAGGACTTTCTTCACAGGAGGAAGGGGCTACGTCAATTATCAGGAAATGCGTTTATTGGAGGCAAGGACCCTGTGCACCGTTGAGGCCAATGCACAATACCTAAATACGTTCTATCTATTTAAAGAGCAAATTAGTGCTGACTGTAATAATTGTCAGGAAAATACAAGGATTTAAAGGTACAGAGTGATTGATTAAACAAAAAGTGAGAAAATAGAAAAAGGATGTTTTCGACCGACTTCAAATTGTCCTGTAATAACACAGGCCAGAGAACTAGCATTAAACAAATTATTGTTGAAAAGAAAACTGAGGAAAACTTTTTTCTTTGTCGAAGTGTTTCCTTTGAAATGATCGAAGGTACACGAAACCAAATGTTTACGAGACCAGAAGACTACAGAACCTAGATATTTTCAAGAGACCGAGGGGAACATGTCTTCGAGGTGGAAATAAAATGTCCACAAGACCAAATTTTCAAGAGACCGAATATTCCCAAATCGGGCAAGACCAAAATATGTCCACAACACGACGTCCATGAGACCAAAAATGTCCACAAGACTGACGTTTTCCAAGAAAAACTTTCGACAGAAAGAGGCTTATCGAAGGTCGTCGCGAGACTAGTGGTCTACCATACGTAATGTCCCTCGGACCGAATGTCTAAGAGACAAATGAGACTGAAAGTCGTAGGTATCTGGTTGTGCAACTGGTCATTGTTTCACGAAACCGTCACAGAACAAGTTTACCGACATCACATGAAAATACCTGTTTAAATTTAAGGAACGCATTACAATGGATTGTCGGTGAACTTGTGTTTTGGTCGGTCTCGCGAGGCGCTGGCGAATTTTTTTTCCGTACTCGAGAGGGCAAATACCCCATGTGCGCATGCGCGTGGACTTGTGATTTCTCTGCTACTTCCCATACGAAATGTACATGTATTCGCATGTACTGTGCACGATTCGCGTTCTACGAGTAAACGATGGCATAGTAGTCTTCAAACACAGACTCTGATTTGCCAGTTTGACAAAACAATTACGCATATATCGTGCGTAGCAATAGTACTAGTATTCAAGTCTGAGTAGTTGTATGATTCAGACATTTTAGTGCTTACAGAAATGCATCCCAAATTGAATAGCATGGTATAGTAGTCTGCAAGCACAGACGCTAATCGGACAGTTTGACAACATAGTGTCTTGAGTAGTGCTTTATATTCAAATATGTGTAGTTTTATGATTCAGACCCTACTGGTGCGTGTATTGGAAAGGCATCTCAACTTGCAGAGTGGCATAGTAGTCTGCAAGCACAGACGCTAATCTGACAGTTTGACAAAATAGTGTTATTCAAGTCTGAGTAGTTTTATGATTCAGACCCTACTGGTGCGTGTATTGGAAATGCACCTCAACTTATAGAGTGGCATAGTAGTATGCAAGCACAGACTCTCCTTTGACAGTTTGACAGAATAATATAGGCCTATTGTGTATTGAGTAGTGCTTTTATTCAAGTTTTCGTAGTTTTCTGTGTTGTGCCACTGCTCTCTCACTCTCTCTCTCTCTCTCTCTCTCTCTTTCTCTCTCTCTAGCTCTCCCTCCAGTATGCTCGCACTCTCTGTATTACTTTTATTTATAACTATGTACAAAATAGCTCTCGATCGGGTAATAAAATAGGGGGTCATCTAACTGTTTAGATACAAATTTGTTTTCCATTGGCGTCAAAATGCATGCACACATCTAACGGCAAATATCCGGCACGTGAAATTCTGAGTCTGGTCACAAATCATGATAAAAATAATGACAACTTAGGCCTAGGCCCTATATTAAACAAATAATTGTAATAATAAAGAGCAGGGCATTCTGAGTCGAATTCTTTTTCGATATAGGAGTAGGCCTAGATCTAGACGGGAAAAAAAGGATAAAATGAATAACTCCGTTGAGCATCAATATTTTGGGCCTATAGTGCTACACCAGATTCATTTTATTGATTTCTGAAGAAGAAAACATTATAGGCTAGGCCTAAGTGCGGAATGTGTCGAATCAATTTTACAACTGAATATTTGTCTTGCTTTGTCTTTCCGTTCGTGCCCACAATCAAGATGATTGAATCATTTATTTCATCATGTGTGTTTGTTCTATCACGATTTTATTATTAATTTGACCATGGATTATACTGACAAAGGAGTTATTAGACCAAAGTTAGAAATATTATTACAGAATGACGGTTTTGAGAAGGCCAATAAATGACCTCATGGTGTGTGGGTTTGTTCAGAGCCAGAAGGGCATTCGTTGTGTTAAGAGTTAACATCCTTCTGGCTCTCAGCAGACCATGATTATAAATAAAAGTAATACAGAGAGTGCGAGCATACTGGAGGGAGGGCTAGAGAGAGAGAGAGAGAGAGAGAAAGAGAGAGAGATATGGAGAGAGAGAGAGAGAGAGAGAGAGAGAGAGAGAAAGAGTGTGAGAGAGCAGTGGCACAATACATAGGCCTACCATGGGGTCTGGAATCATTAAACTACACAAACTTGCATAAAATCACTACTCATCAATACACAATATATTATTATGTCCTTGCAGACTACTATACTACACTCTACACATTGAGATGCATTTCTAACGCACGCACCAGTAGGGTCTGAATCATACATCTACGCAGACTTGAATAAAGTACTTCTCAGCACACTACTAGTATGTTGTCAAACTGTCAGATTAGCGTCTGTGCTTGCAGACTACTATACCATTCTATACAAGTTGGCGACTTGAATAAAGTACTTCTCAGCACACTACTAGTATGTTGTCAAACTGTCAGATTAGCGTCTGTGCTTGCAGACTACTATACCATTCTATACAAGTTGCAATGTATTTCCATATGCACTACTGGGTCTGAATCATACAACTACACAGACTTGAATACTAGTACTATTGCTACGCACGATATATGCGTAATTGTTTTGTCAAACTGGCAAATCAGAGTCTGTGTTTGAAGACTACTATGCCATCGTTTACTCGTAGAACGCGAATCGTGCACAGTACATGCGAATACATGTACATTTCGTATGGGAAGTAGCAGAGAAATCACAAGTCCACGCGCATGCGCACATGGGGTATTTGCCCTCTCGAGTACGGAAAAAAAATTCGCGAGGCGCTGCCCTGCATGGTCTCATCATGGACCCTACTAGTAGTAGGGTCCATAGGGTTAGGGTCCATGGTCTCATGGACATGGTGAACTCACAAGAAGTATAAACACCAATTTAGTTCCAAAATTTCAAAAATTTTCATTTTATTTTGAAGGAGGTGAAAAAACCTCACCAGAATAGGGGGAAAAGAGGCAAAGAAATAAAAGAGGAAAAAATGGAAGAAGAAGAATAAGAACAACAAATCAACAATTAAAAAAACAACAACAAAAAACAGAGGGATATGAACAGGTCCGCCTGCTTACTTCAATTTTTGCCTACTCATATTTCTTCCTCGATTTGTTTTGTAATGCTTTGTACTGCAATTTAAATCCCCGCCATTCATGTGAAAATTACGTTAAAAAACCCAATTGATGGGGAGAGAGGAAGGGAGGGGGGGGGGGGGGGCGGAAAATTTGAAAAGTAGGCCAACCATGACAACCCAATGTTTAAGCTTTAAAGTGCTTTAGAATGCAATATTTCACTATTCAAAAATGGAATTTTTGGGTCGCTCAGTCGCTACGCTCTCTCGCATTATTATTAGGCTTTAAACTGTTAAAACGAATGTATTTGTACATATACCCCTCGCCCTGGTATGCATGGGTCGGCGGAGCGACTCATAAAGTTGGAGGGGGCACCAACAAAAGGGCACTCTCTTGAAAATGTGTTCAAAGGGAAATCTCAAAGCGAAAATAAACAATTTTTTAGACATTGGTATATATACCCCTACATTTTTGATA